CTTCATAAAGAGGACTGTGGTTTTATTAAGGTGCAGCAAGAAAATTTATTTGCTTACATGATTCGCAACATACGTCTACTTTACAAATAATTGTATAACCCTCTGCCTTGAAGAAAAATAATGTGTTTTAATCAATATGCTTAATACAGTATACAAAACAACTTATAGAAAGTTGTAAAGTATGTATAGACACGTTATTTCTCTTGAGTAGAAATTTCAATAGTATGAAAATGGTTTGAAGATTAAACATGTAGGCGATAAACACATTGTACTAAACCTGCTACCCCTACGAGGACATTTCCTTTCATTCTAAAATAATAATAACTTATAAATTTTGCCTCCCCTTATTTTTTAACATGTGAAGCTTTGAATGTTCAGAGCACACTGCTCATTACTGAAGCAGGGAGCCTCATTTAGTAATTAAAAAATGTATTCTGTCCAAATACGTTTCTTTAATTCAGTTTCAACATTGAAATGTGTTAATATTGATGAGTAAGAGTTTCTTATTTTTGATAAAGCTATTAGCATTACATTTTCCTAGAAACTTAAATTTTAGAAACTAAAAATTTAGAAACTAGAAACTAAAATATTCAGTTCATTTTGAGCAAGCCATAATTAATGGTATAAACAAAATATTGCCACGAACATGTCAAGTATAATTTAAAATGTTGCACTTAGGTTCATATTTTTATTTAAAATGAATATGCCAGTGCAAAAAACCATACTGTAACCTGATCGTGTGAAAGTCTTTCTTTAAATGACTAAAACTAGACATCTTGCTCTTTTGCATCACATGTCCAGAGATAGATTCTTACATTTGTTTATACACACAAAGTTCATACTTTTGAGTTTATATTGTTGAAGATGTTGAAACATTAAAGGGAAGGTTCAGTGTTTTTCTAACTGTGTAAGGTACAGAAAACAATTTATTGTCATACATAATTAGGACAGAAAATTTTGTACACATAAATTTAAGCATCGGCAAATTAACAGATACTCCTGAGGTCCCATTGTTCCCCAGTCTCATTGACAACCTCGTCACTCACCAGGATCAGCAGTGGCTCAGATGATTCTTTTGCTTCTTGCTATTTACACAGCTTAAATCTACATTCTGCTATTTTTTTACACAGGTAGAAACAAATATATTTGACATTTCAACCAGTTATAAACACATTCAGACACACAGCATGTATGGAGGAGGGATGCATGTGTGAGGGTTAGCATATGCATATTTATGTGTGTATAATTGAAACAAAATTTGAGAGAACAATATGTATCACATATGCTCTAGTTGTTTGTATTTTATTATATGCCATTCTGTTACCTTAAAATATTTATTTCCCAACTCTTGTAATTGATTTCATGATCTGGTAACGAGCTGCAACCAATGCCTGGAAAAACACAGGCTAAAGTAATGGAAGCGTAAATTCTATAATACCTCAATAAAAATGTCTTTCTACTCCTACCACTGCAGTATTGTGCTACTTAAAGCACAGTGGCACTGGGTTGCTTAAACCATGTATGGGTCAACACCACACTGAAGCAAAATGGTTTTACCATCATTTAGAGAAGATGATGTGAGTTTCATGCATCCAGGATTACTTGAATTGCTAATATATAACTTAAGGTACATCATATCTGATACAGGATGCCAAACTTTGGATAGCATACAAATCTTAAATTAATGACATTCTTTTGAGAAATTGACAAATACTGTCTAAATTTATCTGGAACAGTGTATATTCCTGATTAACTCAGAAAATGACAAAATCATGAAATAAGACTTGCCTTGAGATCTGAAATTATTAGGAAGGTATAACATTCTCCAGGAAATAAAAAGTGAACAGTGCTTAAAATAGTACACATGAATACTATCTGCTGCCTAACAGAATGAAAAAAAATATATACAAACTTTTTTGAGAGAAGAAGTACTGAAAATATGAATTTAAAAAGTAAGAAGAAAAAAAGACAGAAGAGGAAGCACATACTGAGTACCTCCAGCCTGAACCAGAATAAATTTCATTTTCTCATGACTTCTCCGAATATACATTTTTTGAGACAAGGTCTCTCTGTGTAGTTTAAAGCTAGCCTTGAATTTACTATGAAGCCCATCCTGGCCTCTGACTCATGATAATCCTTCTGCCTCAGCCTTCTGAGTGCTTGGTTTATAGGTGCACACAACTTGCCACTCTGCCCAGCAAATTTTCTGTCTTAACTCTGATAATCACATAAATACTTTACATTTTCAAAATTAAAAATAAAATGGCATATAGTATATGTAGGATAAAGCAAATAAACTTTTATATGAAGATTCTTAGAAGCCAACATTTTAATGTGATTATTAGTATTGTCAGAAGATTATCAAGTCAAATTCTCAGTAATGTTGAATTGAATTTCAAAATAACAAATGCAACACTTTTCCCCTAAAAAATACAGGAATCTCTTGCTTCATATCAATAATCTATTTTCAAAACCATACATTGCAAGCATATTTTTATTACTTTAAATGGGAAAAATTATAATTCACTTTGGACAAACCCCAGACCTAGCTGATTTCCTATAGAATTACATACACAGTAATGTCCATAGAAAAGTAAAATATCTCGCTTGATAGGCTCTAAGATGAGTAAGCACTGCTTTGTAATCGTCCGGCACTTATTACTGTTACTAACATGCACTTGGTTGTATATAGTTACACGCACTGTTTGCATGCTACATGAGAGCTGTTAGTTTATGGTTGGGAGTAGCAAATAACAAAACAATAAAATGCTCAAATTAAAATAAATTCAGAAAAAAATCACCCAGCACTAGATTTCCTTCACTAAGCTAATGGAGACCTGGCACTTGCAGATTAAAGCAGAAGGCGATGGAGTAGATGGACACAGGCTCATGTCACACACACCGTCATGCTGAGGAAAAGCCAGAGAGGCCCTGGCTGACTTGGAGCTGCTGCAGAGACTGCTAGACGGGAAAACCGATGAAGCCTCAGACATGGTGTTCACCCTGAAGAAAGGCGTAGTTGCAAATTGCACATGTGCTTATTCTGTCAAAAATTTGTTCATATGATTAAAAATACCAGGCTTCTCTTACATAAATTACCCACTAGACTAAGGATGTCTCCAATAGTAGAGCTTCTAGGGGTCTCTCAGTTCCCCCAGGCTCTTGGTGGTAGACTTGGCCGTGACTGCAGACATGTGTCATAGGTCCAGGCACTACCAGCCACTGTTTTCTGTGGAAGCCCATCCATCTCTTCCCTTGATCTTGCCACAGGAGGAGCGGGTGTACTTGGAGGGTTGGCTGATTTTAATTTTCTTCCCCGTTTTCCTAAAGGAGGAGCCACAGTGGGTCCCATATTTACCAGCGATTTGAACTTTTGTGTGTTTGGCCATGTTGGCGCAATCTAGGCCCCAAGCTCAGAGAGGGCAAAATCAGGCTGTTTGTCAAAAGAAAGTTGTATCACCACGTCGGGTATGACTTGGTGAACTTTTCTTCCCAACATCCAAAGCCTGTGACCTGTTTACACTCAGGACTCCTCTAAAAATGTCATTATATTCTATCAAGTTGGAATGCAGTGCAACCTTCTTTCACCACAAAATGTTGTTTACAACATTGTACTGAGATGGAGGATGAGAGAGACATAAATAATTATTTCCATTTGATATTTATACCCAGATCCATTGAAAAATGAAGTAGCGAGAGATGTATATATTCTCTGAAGTTAGGATCTAGAAGTTATGTAATCTGATTGCAGTGGACACACTGACCTCAAATCATAACTTCTAAATGTTTCTTTTTTTCAAAAAAAAAAAAACACACCTGAGCATGGTGGCATACACATGTAATCACAGCATTCAGAAGGCTGAGGCAGGAGGATCTCTGTGACTTCTTGAGGCCAGCCTGGGCTACAAAGTGAATTCAAGGCCAGCCTGAACCACATAGCAAAACCTCGTCTCAAAAAAGACAAAAAAAAAAAACAAAAAACTCGCCAGAACCTTGGAGAAATGGTTGATACCAAGAATGAAAGAAAATAAACAAGATGAGCTCATGGTTCTGTTCAACTCAGAGGGCAGAGATGCAATCAAACAAAAGTGTTCATGTATACAGGCATTGACCCAGGAAAGGCTCCCAGTTAGTCAATAGTGAGATAATGGCAACATCAGAGGAATAATTGGTGCACTTAATCAAGGGCTATGTATTCATGATTCTTACCAAAGCAAATAAGGAATATTGGCAGGGAGGAAGATAGGAAGGGAAGGAAGAAAAAAGGAAGAAAAAGAGAGAGAAAGACAAGAAGGGAGGGAGGAAGAGAGGGAGATACAAGATAGGAAGAAAGGAAAGAATCAGGGTAGATAAAAAAAGAGAGAAGGAAAGAGGGTCAGATCAGCGCACACCGTGCGTTTCTGATTCCTTGTTTTGGTTGAGTACGAAGTGGAAATTTCACATTAAGGGAGGCTTGACAGCTGTGTAGGTGTCTGTTATCTCTATTTCATAAATATTTTTGAAAACATCAAAATTTGAAGCAACTTTAATAGCTATCATAACAGATTAATACAATAAACGAAGGCACAGTCTTTAATAGAATATTATGCAACCGCTACAAACAATGGAGCAGAACTTTACGAAGAGCCATGTAAAGGTACCCATAATACACTGGTTAGTGGAGAAAGAAAATTTCAGGCTAGTACAAGAGGATTTCTCATACTTTTCATACTCTGAGACATTTTATAATTACAAAAGTAAATATATTTGCTTTAAAAAGATAAAAGTCCAGAGTCACATAAAATCATATGACAGCAGTGGTCACTTCTGTAATTAGAATTTTACAGCAAATGTGTGTGGGGGAGCTTGAGAGGAAACATTCACATTTCATTTAATATATTCTTAGATATTTTAAAGCTTTCTTATGAGCATGCATTGATTTGTAATACATACGTGAGAAAGAGGTCGTCACTTCTGTGCACCAGTTAAATATTGCTTAATCCTAGCTCTCTCTTCCGCAGGTGCCAGGCTGCCAACAAGACTTGCCCCACAAATTACCTGTGGAATAATCGCATCTGCAGATGCCTGGCTCAGCAAGATTTTATTTTTTCCTCAAATGCCGGAGATGGTAAGTAGAATCTTACTTTGTTTTGTTATGTGCATGTGGTCTATACTTCATTAGCACGTATTTTGTGAACATTATACAATATTCAGAACGTCATTATTTGAAATGCATAGCTCCAAACAGGACATTTCTTGTTTCACGTTGGCATTAGTTGTAGCTTCCTCCTAAAGGAACGTGACTGTGTTTGTACACGTTTCCTTAATGAAGAACATAAACAGGAAGATGCTCTAAAATGAGTTTGTTTCACACCACACCCAGAGCAGTGTAAGATGCAGTGAAGATGTGTTTGTCTCAACTCGACAGATGGATTCCGTGACATCTGCGGACCCAACAAGGAGCTGGATGAAGAGACCTGCCAGTGTGTATGCAAAGGGGGCCTTCGGCCTTCCAGCTGTGGACCCCACAAAGAAATAGACAGGAGCTCCTGCCAGTGCGTTTGTAAAAACAAACTTTTCCCCACCTCGTGCGGAGCCAACAGAGAATTTGATGAAAACACATGCCAGTGTGTATGCAAAAGAACCTGCCCAAGACATCAGCCACTAAATCCTTTAAAATGTGCCTGTGAATGTACAGAAAATCCACAGAAATGTTTGTTACAAGGAAAGAAATTCCAGTATCAAACGTGCAGGTAAGGGATCTTCATAATAGCGTGGAAATATAATCTCAACCAAAAGCAGTTTTCTTAACCGAACTAGCAGTTGCTTATTAGAATGAGGCCAAGAAGTTTAGGGAGAAAAACTATGCTATGTTTTAACAAATGCTAAACTTTCTTAAGATTGGATTTGCTTCCGAGAAGCAAGATAGGAGTGTTGGGGACCAAAACCAGACCCAAATTCAGGGTAAACTCCAAATCCTGTTCCGAGGCTAAGGAAGTGGTGAGCAATGCGTTAGAGGATGTAAGTATTATTTTTCAAAATACATCCAGGTAATTCACACCTGCCCTAAACAGAAATACTTCCAGATGTAATTTAGGACAAGCTGTTTTAAGTACAGGCATATTTTATTTTAAAAGTTACGGATAAAGAATAAGATGATTCCATTTACTATAACATGTTAAGGTGGAAATGAAATATTTACACTAAGTATTTAGTAGAATTAGAGAAATAAGTCAGTGTTATCGAGGTCATTTGGGACTCCTTTCTTAAATCCAGGTTTTGTTCCTTTCTTCATCAAGGAAAGAAATGAGATTATTTAACTCAAGGACTTGCAGTGTTATTCTCTGAATTTGTTTCTCTTTAATCTCAGAAAATCAGATGAAGTACTGTTTAAACCAGATTTGTCCTTTGGATGTTTGTTTTTACCACATTCTTTGAATGTTGCCCAACCAGCCATGCCTTCTTGCTTCTGTAACTTTAATATTTCCAGTTCTATTTTTATTTTCCCTTGGTTTTGCAAAAATTCCCCAATTTCTTGTTTCATTAACATCCAATTGTAATGCTGAGTGGACTTCAGTGCCAAGGTCTGTCTTCCTCAGAGCTGCTCAGAACCTAAGCGTGTGGCACTGGCTTCCACCTTCCTCTCACCTCCCATGTACTTAGCCAGCTGGAGTGTGGGGCATGCCCTCTATGTGAAGGTCAGAGGTGAGCAGTGAGGAGCCCCTGAGCTGCCTGCCAGTGGGGAATTTTGTCTTCGTACCCACTGCCCTTCCTACCATCCTTTTCTTTACGCTCCCCTCCTTTATGTCTAATGAGACTGTACTTTCCTGCTTGCTCATGTTCAGAACATTTATTTCTAGTCATTTGCACTGATTATTTGCTTCCATTCCCTCTTTAAATATGGGTAGATAATATCCTTTTCAGCAGATAAAAGCGTATTTATTTACATACAAGGCAGCATTCCCAGTAGCGTTCAGCATTACTTACTAAGGGAGAGTCTATCCTTGTGTGCTCTAAATGTAATTTCTGTTTCTGAAGTTCTGTCTGCATTAGCATTTTGGTTACTATAAAAAGAGGCTGGAATGAATCTCACTGATTATAATTTTTCTTCCTTTATTGTTGCAGAGTATCTTACAGAAGTCATTATATGACCTGTTTAGAATATTTGAGCAATAATTATATTCCAAATTTTACTTGCATATTTCTACACCAGTTACCAAAAGGCTATTTCAAAAATATACTTGAGAGCTGGGCAAGGTGGCACAAACCTGTAATCCCAGCACTTGGAAGGTTGAGGCAGAAGGATCATCATGAGTTCAAGGCCAGCTTAGACTGCGTAATAAATTCAAGGTCAGCCTGAACTACATGGAGAGATCCTGTTTCAAAAACCCAAAACACACACACACACACACACACACACACACACACACACCCTATATCCAGAAGGATGTAGATATGAAAGTTTATTAAACTTAATAAAACCATTTTCTATATTGAATCTTTTGTGACTCTACTGCATAATGAAAAATGTGAAATGCTTATATCTGCCTACAAACTAACCAGCCACCATACTTTTCTATAGAATTCTGCTTTTTCAGTGCTGGAAATGAAATTTAGGCCTTTGTACATGCAAGGCAAGTGCTCTTCCACTAAACTACATACCCAGCCCTCAGAGAATTAAGTATTTATTGATCCATTTATTTTTAGTATATGTTTACAGATTATACTTACCATAGGGAGTTAATAGAAATATTTCTATCATTGTATTTCTCCTACTGGGATACATTCTTTCATGAACACTTTCAGTTTACTGCAGTCTTCATATATGTGCTCTTCTAAGTGCCTACTTCCAGATTTTCTGGTATCAAGCAGAGCAAAAGAGAAAACTGGTACTTTGAAAATACGTACTTTTCTCATATTCTTTTGATATTTGTTCCATAATTGTGGAGGGCAAAATTCTTCGGTCTGCTGCTTTCCTCAGCAGCTTCCATTGATCTTTGAGATGTTCTCCTTTTTAAATGAAGGAAAACTTGTGGTCTTATATTTATGAATTTGTATGCAAGGAGATTTTTTTAAACACTAAATATACCCAACTTTTCTAGAGAGAAAGAGAGGAAATTTGAAACCAGATGTAGGTTTTTCTGCAGTGCACCCCAAGCCATCTTGCATTTTTTCCTGTATCCGTGTTTCCTGTGTTAGGCTTGTTCACACTCCAAAAAGACCTTCAAAGACAGTGCCGGTGTAAAGGAGTAACGGGGTTGAGCCCTGGTGGTAATTCATCTTTTTACTATCACTGGAAACTGGAAGTTCAGATTGGAAAGAGAGGGATCTCCAAAAATGAGCATTATTCCTCTGCCTCCTTTGCCCTCCTGTTTCCCCGGAAGTCCAAATAGAGAAGAGAGAGTCAGCTACCATCATGCAGCCAGCTGTCAAGTAGAAACAAAAGGGTCAGCCTAGCGCCGCTCACTGAGGACCACAGTCCTCCCTAAATGGCTGCTTTTAATTGCTTGGAAATCTGGGTCCCATGCATGTCCCAGACTCTTGTGAATTCTGCCATGACTGTGTGATCACAGTAAATCAGCAGACCTTAAATATTCACTTTCAGAATTTCTGTTTTATGTTACTTTCATCCACAAAGCAGAAAGCACTTCAAAAGAGCTAATGATTACAATATCCCATCTTTGCGTTTGTTATATCAGCAAGCAAGGCATATTTTTAAAGGTTGTTACCTTCCTCCCCAGCAGTATACCTTTAAGCACAAATTTAAACTATGAACTTACAGTTTTATGGGAAATTAGATTTTTTTTCTAGTTTAAATTTAGAAAGAAATACAAAAGTACATTAGTAGTGTAATGAACTCACCGCCTTGTCCTTTAACAGACGTGTTCCTCTCTGTTTTACTAGTTGTTACAGACGACCCTGTACAAACCGACTGAGGCACTGTGAGCAGGGACTTTCATTCAGCGAAGAAGTGTGTCGCTGCGTCCCTTCCTATTGGAAACGACCACATGTGAGCTAAGACTGGTTCCAGTTCATCATCTTTCTACCATGAAAAATAAAACTGTTACCACGTTAGAACTGTCTGTGAACAGAGAGACTTTGTGGGACCATGGTAACAAAGACAAAATTCTGTGTTTTTCTGAACCATGTGGATAATTTTACAGAAGTGGACTGCAGCTCAACTGTAAAAGGCCTCTTTTAAAGACTGGTTTTCTGCCAAACAGCTGAGATTTTGTGATTTTTTTTTTTTAAAAAAAGAAAGAATAATGACTATATAATTTATTTCCACTAAAGATATTGTTTCTGCATTCATTTGTATAGCAATAACAATTGGTAAAGCTCACGGTGATCAGTATTTTTATAACATGCAAATATGTTTAAAATAAAATGAAAATTGTATTATAAACTGGTAAGTTCAATCTGTTACCGTCTTACATTTTAAGCAAAAACTGATATGATGAAACACTGATCTCCTCCTGCCTTTTTTCTTTTCCTTTAACCAGGGGTCAGATTTTGATGGCTATGAAAAAAAATGTCAAAGGAAGTTTAAGAAGGACAGCAGTATACTATTTCACTTTGGTTAAATTTATCTCAATATATTTAATGACTATAAATATTGTAGCACATGATACTTTTGAATTTACTACCAAATGGATCTGCACAGAGCATCTTAGGAGACAGGCCACTTAGCAGGTCTGTCTGATAGAAAGTGGTTGAGTGCCCTGGAAGCATTCATACTCTTCCCTGGGTATAAAATCCTTCAGTATGCATTAAAATGGCTTTAAAGTATTCCCCTCAAAAAATAGGTAGTTTCTTTGGACCAGCTAGAATGTTTTTGAAAGCTAAAGTCTTCTACCGAATATTTTTAAATAAATTCAAACTAATATTTAAATTCTCATATATTTTTAAAAGAAAACATTTCAGTCATACAATTGAAGTGCATTTTGTGGGGAATTTTGTAGTTTTGTTGTTTTATTTTTTGCAGTGCTGAGGATCTAACTCAGGGCCCTACCATGCTAGGCCAATGCTTTATTTACCATAAGCTGTGCTCATAACTCCAATGTTTTACTTTTTAAAAGGGCATCATACTAAAATACTACCCTCTATGCACAGATATTTTGCCTGCATGAATAAAATCAAGTAAATAGCCTACTTATTGACAGATAATTATAGAATAGTGTGAAATAGATACTGTATATAAATAATTAGATCTGAAAGAACAAAATATTCAATACGAGTTATGTATAATCTCTAGAAAGTGGCAAATTTAGTGTTCTAAAAACATGAAATTAGTATAGCGTACTAGTCATCATAATTCATATAAACGTTTAATTTGTATAGAAGACTAAAAATCATATATAAACAATATAAATGTTAGTATTGATATGTTTTACTATAAAATAACTTTCTAAAAGCATATAATTAGAATATAAATGCCCTAAAAACAGTCTCTGTATTTTCATACTGACTTCTAAAACAGGTTTTACCAGGAGTGCTTACTGAATTTCAGTTATATGCTCAGTAAAACATTAACGTCTACTTTAGGAAGTCATATTTTTTCATTTACTAGAAAATAAAATGAAAATAGTATTCCGAAGTCTTCTCATTATACATTTACATGCTATCTTCCAATTTTTCAGTAAAGATTAGTCTGAATTCTCCAAGCAGACAAAATACGCAGTGTATACTCTGTGTTCTGGGTAAGCTTTGAGTAATTTTTAAATTTGAGAAAAAAAGAGAGGAAGGGAGGTAGGCAGGAGGGCAGGGAAGTAAACTTGACAACAGCTATATTTCTGCAGTTTTTCAAAAGAACAAATTCTAGGGCAATTGCAGAAAAGAAACTGAAATTAAAATAACCTCTTACCATCTGATGAAGAGGCATAAAAAGGTCATTATCTTTGAAATTCTGTTGAGTCAGTGCAATAATTTTTCATCTCAACTAAGTCAAAAATGAAAGCAGACAAACTTTGTGTAATGTTAGTGTCAGTCTGAGAATCATTTTTACAATTGATACTTTTGAATTATATTAATTTTTAAGTTAACTATAGAAAAATAACCTAAGGTTCCTGAGGCCATACAGAGAACATTAGCAACTGGAAGAATGATTTATATATTAGATTTAATAGCAGTCTTAACTGTATTTCTCAAATACATGGACACAAAAGACCCAGTAGGCCAAAAAAAAAAAGGCTTACACATGCTAGGAAAATAACATTTAAATTTGTTCCTGGAGAGGCAATAATCTTTATTGAAAATCAAGATAGGATGGACAAAGATAGTATCTTGCTTAAGATTCTTGGAAAAAATTTTATGTGGAACATAAAAATCGCACTGCAACACGCTGTAATGAATGAAGGTTTTTTGTAGCCCGTTAACATGACTAGCAATAAAGCTAAACAGTTGTTTGGAATATCAGCAAATGTGATTCAGTGAAAACCAAAATTATAGTAAGAATGTGCATAAACTCTGCAGAGGAGTCCCAAGATACTAATATTAATCCAAAGGATGAAGTTGAGAAAAGACTGGAAGCTTACAGCAACAGTTAGTATCTCAAAACTTGGAAAGTTTATAAACAGAATTTTATGTCCAGAAACCTAATACTGTATACTCAGTTGAAAAGGCTAAAGGAAAAAAATGTTTTGGTAAGCAGTTATATAAGATTTGACATTTACTAACTGCCTGAGCAAAACAGATTCCATTATTAGAATTTTTAAAAATAACCTTTCCTTCGTATCTGAATTACTCTGAACAGAAGCTTGAGTGGTGTCAGTATAAGGCTGAATTCTCCCAGAGCGCACTTTCAGGGAAGGAGCAGAGGTGATGAACTCACACACAGGCGCCCCAGGCTTCCTCTGCAGATACCCTGCTCCTGGACCTGTCTCACTCAGTGGGAGAGAGAAGAGGCAGACACATCAGGTGAGAGAGTTCATATTGCAGTGATTGTTTTAAAATGTTGCCAAAGCTTATTAAACTCCTTGCCTGTGTAAACTCCCGGGTTCCTCTGTCTAGGCAGTGCTGGGATAGGAGAGAACAAAGGTCTCTTGCCGCAGACTTGTTTATATTACTGTGCCATCCCCTAGGTCTGAACTTTCCTTAGCACGGTTTGCAAAGGATACCTTTAGAGCTATCTGACTTTTACATACTAGAAAAATTATGAAAATTTCTCAATAAACCTATTATTTCATGCTAAAAATACATGTAGCATTCCCCAAGAACTGTTTAAGATAGTAAAATGATACAAACAAAATAGTATAATTACTAATTTATCTCTTCATGTGCCTGAAGCTTTGCCATCCTGCTTACCTTTAAAGTGGGAAGTAACTACTTGTGGACAAATGGAAATGTAAACAAAAAACTCATTGCCTAAAGAGTATAGACTGGTGCAACCACTGTGGAAATCAGTGTGATTTCTCAAAAAACTAAGATTAGAGGTACCATTTGATCCACCTATTCCTTTTAGTATCTTCCCAAAAGAATTAAAGCATCATACCACAGCAATGTATAAACACCTATACTTATAGCAGCAGAGTTTTTAATAGCTAAATCTTGGAAACAGTTCAAATGTCCATCAACCAATGAATGGTGAAAGAAGATGTGGGTTTCTTTATATAATGGAGTACTACTCAGCCATAAAAAAGGATAATCTTGAGCATTTCTAAGTGAATGGATGCTCCTTGAGACCATATTCTTAAGTGAAATAAATTAGACACACATAGAAATATCACATTGTCTCTAGTGTGAGAAACTGAAGTGTACATAAGAACCAAAATGCATAATACATATTGTGAAATAGGAAGAAATCGTTCAAATGGGAAGGGGAGCTAGGGAGGGTAGAGGGGGAAAGGAAGGAAGGGAAAAGAAAAAAATGAAAAAAGGATAAAATGGAAGGAAAGCTTTTAAATAAGGAGGGGAAAGGGAGTTGTAGGGAGGGGAGGGGAATGGGGGAGAGAAGGTATTAAGATATGTCGTGTACAGGCACAAAATTCCCATGATGAATGTGATCGTATGTGTATCTAAATTGTACCAATAAACTTAATATTTGAAAAAAGCATATTGTATAGGATGATCCAGTCCAGCTGAGCACCGAATTGGAAATCATAAACCAAGTTTTTGTCTTGACTCTTCTTCCATATCCCTGAGCCATTCACATCTCCCAGAGTCTGAGCACGTCGATTTGTGAAGGGAAGGAGGTGGATTAAAATTGTGTGTGAATCTTAGCTCTGAAGTTACAGTTTGTACTAAATGAAGGAAAATAAAAGCCAGACTGTTTTTTAGCACTTTAGGATACATCATTTTTGAGATTGGTGACCTCATTAAGAAGAACTGTTTTTCTTTTTTAAAAAGTATCACACAAAAAGTTATAAATGAAAAACCCATCTCCCTCATACTGTCATTCTAACTCTGACTCTACTTCTTAAATCTTAACTAATGTAGATAGCTCAAAGTATGGTTTTTCCTGATTTTCTTTATTACAAAAGGTGGTCACATATGGACACTGAAAAAAAAATTTAAAACATCTTGAAAAGAGAAATAGCAAACATTCTGATTTCTTCTGCAATTCATCCCAACCTCAGCAGATGCATATATACTATGATTGATCCGGGAAAGGGCTTTGAAGCAGGAATGGATTTCTAATTGTTGTTACCATCTGGTCTTCTGATGATAGGATTTGATTAAGTACTGAGCCTACATAGCCAAGATCTGGCATTTACAATTCTGTAAGTATAGAGGTCACAACGCGCAGATGCGGCTGCAGGCATACCCATGATGGCTGATTCACCACAGGCTTGAGACATGGCTGCCCATACAGACAGCAGTAGCTGTTTTGATTTAATAGAAATAACTCTGAGACACTACTCAAAGCTTCTTCAGCATCTCCTAAGTAATAAGTGATTGTGTACAGAGAATTCTAAATTATCTGAAACACAAATACTTAATTTTACAGATGTAATTTACTAATAATTTTGAAAGGAAAAAATTTTTTCAGATTTCTCCACACCATATGGTTATAACAATATGCTTAGTTTGCTGCTATGTGGAATTTAATTTTTTAGCATTTCAAGACAGCTGTACATTTTAGTCTTTTTAGAAAATTAATCTTGCTTATGGTCAGATTTATATATGTAGGTTCAGTACAGTTTATTGACAATATTATTATGCCCATAAAAATGTAACACTATTAATTCAATTTACAATTCTTTTCCTTGGAATAAGTTGCATGTCTTTACCACTAGAGTTTCACAGAGCATTTTCTTACCTATAACAAATGGACCCTCTAGAACATCTTTTTCCTCACACATTTTGTTTACCCCCCTTGTCACCCCCATGACACTGCCTTTATCTCTCTATTTCCTACTCCTTTCTTTCCTTTCTCCATAATATACTAAGAAGCCACTGCTGAATGAC